TGCGGTGGATCCCTATGAAGAACACTCAGGATTAACTACCCACCCCACCCACCTGGTGATTATAAGGTCAAAATATTTGGCTTTGCAAAGCCTCTTTGATGCGAGTCGTATTTACATGAATTTTTTACTTATTTATTTTTGTATTGTTATTGTAGGGACACTTCTTGGTGCTCACCGCACGGGTGACATTCTCCGTCATGATCACGATGCGGATATTTCACTTTTACTAAACTCAGACCCAGGAGAGGCGTTCCGCGATTTAGCAAAGATAGGTATCGTTGCAAATGGCTTAGTGGCGAAACTCGGATCGGTGTCTCTTGACTTTGTGAGATGGAAACCTGTAAACACAACGATTCACGGGAAAACCGAGGTCATGTTGCACAAATTTTATCCGTCATGGGTGAAGGATAATATGGTGGTTAGGTATCATCATAAGTTAGAGACTTTTCCTCAATCATGGGTGATACCTTCACAGAAAATTAAATTCCAAGGAGTTGATGTAGCTGTTCCTAATCCCCCAGAAAGGTTATTGTCCTTCAGGTATCCTTACACCTTTGGAACGTTTGGAGTCCAGTTTCCTTATAAGTGGAAGTGCTGGGTTCCCTGTTTGTTAAGAAAGAGCGTTGGGTGCTAAAAATGTTGGTGCCCTGTACTTTTAATTATGATCGGAAGTTTACCATCAGAGAAACAGAATGTTATGAGGGGCTGATATGTGTGCAGTTTGCAATCAGTCCTACAGACAATGAAGACTCTAGCCTGCGAGCAAGCTACCCTCCCAACAAGGATCGTTTGCTTCGAGAGTGCTCGAGGACAATGAACGTGTAAATCCAACACCCTAACCAGGAGTCTATGGCTCCTACCCTAGCTTAAAAGTATAAAATGTCAGAACGAGATCCTATGGCCAAATATGAGCATACTTTTAGAATACAGTGGAACCCCGCCATGACCACCTTGCTTCCCGGGGCCGACATCTCTATGAAAATGACTCTTAGAGGTAATAGCAGTTTTATCTCACTTGTGGTGTTCAGAATATCCTGGTTAACAGAGGTTTATATCTCGCGTGTGGCGATCGACTGCAGCAGAGATGTTTCGGCCACGGGTCGACACCTGAAGGCCGAAGACACAAACGGTGAAGAAAAAAAAACTTGCTTTTCGCTCGTGTCACTATAAAGACTTGACAGAAACCGGAAACCCGCGCATGAGAAGTCTCTGGCACCCAGGGTGTGTCCTAGTCTCTTTTGCAGCCGTTTTTGTCTCGTCACTAAATGCTCCTCTAAAAAAGTTTTGCATGACGAGACAAAAACGGCTGAGAGACTAGTTATGTTTAAGACGAAAAGCTCATATTTTAACCCATAAAGGCTATCTCTCAGGGTTTGCATAAAGAAATATCCATATAGGTAAATAAACGTCATCATACTGTGTTGGAGAATGGTCTCCTTTAGAGGTCGGTCAAATAAAGCTTGTGCCACGCCCAGTTGGTCTCCTCTGGAGTACCACAAACTCTTATTTTCCTCCGAGGTATTAATTTTATTTTCCCACTATCGAGCATCCTTATGTCTTTCACATGGTAGTCCTCCGGGCTTGCTTAGTCGCTTAGGCCACTTTGATTTGTCCCCTTGGAGAAATCACTGAGCATTTTCTTGGGAAAGGGCGCTATTTTTCTTTCGTTCCCCGGCTTTCCATGAGTCTCCGCGCGCCTTAACCTAACCCCAACCTTCTCTCATCCCCAAAATACTGGGTACGAGTCTGTCTAAAGTGTGCGAGCGCACTATCTACGGCGGCCAAAAGGATAAAATATCAAAAGTAGCGACAAGTAACAAAAGACAATGCGGCGTTATTCAACCACTGTATATTTTCTTCCGTTGTGTGACGTACAAAATATTGTTCGCTTTCCATAAGAAATTTTCAAGTGTATCACAATACAATTGCCTCCGCCAAGGCTCCTAATACGGTCACACCTCCCACTACACGAGACAACTACAGGCGACTCCCAATCACTCGAACCTTCCAGGGAAATCGAAAACTTCGTTTAGTTGTTTTAATATGATATAACTGACAGACGACCAATAACATCGTTACTTAATTGACCAATCAGGTCAATAACCAGAGTTAAATACCATCAACTAACGTGATACACCTCACTTTGACTCTCAAGATGACTACCCCACAGGTCCATAAAACGTCAGTCACTGTCAACAACAACAGTCCTATTGAGGACTACGTTCACCCGGACGATCATACTCAACCTATTTATGAGAGAGTTGATTGTAATCTAATCGAATGTAAGAGCTCCCTGTGAAAAAGGCTAGAATAAACTCTTGGTGTCTGTTTTTCGGAGCCACTGTAGGTCAAGCTAAGGGGATAATTCTAAAAGAAAACACCAAACTTCTATATGATATATAAAAATATAGCTTTCATTATAAAACTCATTACACTCAAATGCGAATTTTCATTCCCGTACGAAAAGAGATATCACATGATATCACACCATTACAAGGTTTTTAGTTCTCGTTTTTTAACAGGTTAAGTGTATCATTGATTTAACATTGCTTGAAGAAGCAAGAATGTTTTTAAAGTACAGCACTGTTCAAAGAGTTGAGCCACAGCTACAAAGGAGGCAACAGCATGCGAACAAAGTGTTACTGCTCGCTTTTCTTTGCCACTGATAAAATTAAAACTCACTTGTCTATGGGAAGGTCTACCAGTGGAAAGTCATCATCTAAGTAAATCATTAACTACGACAAGCAAGCAGTTGTTCCGGGCAAAATGTGGGAGCTGCTGTCCAAAGGAGAAGCTGGAATTCAAGGATCTTTTTATAGCACTTCAGTCCCATAAAGCAATTCGATCTGATCCGTCTGGACATTCTCCTCCACTCCCTCGCAGGAAACAGAAGTGAGTGACCAGAGGTAGTCTAGGAAAGAGGCTTCTGAAATGTTTACTTAAGCCCCGTCCACACTAATGAGTCTTAGTTTTAAAAGGCATACATCAGGATGTCTTTAGGCTTTCCGTCCACAATAATACGCTGAGCTTTTTCATCGAAAACGCATCGATTTGAAAACGCTATTGAAAGTGGATCAAAAAGAAAACGAATACATATCATATTAGTGTAGACGGTCAAAACCGATTAAAATGAAAACGATGACCGAAAATATCCCATGCGCGTGTTTGGAGCATGCGCATAGAGTTCACTGACTTAGGTCACAACGGGCAATTCTATCGTATTCGAACGTTTTTGTGTGGACAGTCGAAAATCCGTCAAAAACGGTAGCATAGACGCGAATCGATCGATGCATTATCGATGACAACGAAAACGCACACTTTTTAAAACGTATTAGTGTGATCAGGGCCTTTAGAAAAACCTTTGGTCATTGGATGACGAAGTATATATAACGGGACTCGAAGGCAAACGGACCACTCGCACGCAAATCAAAATATTCGACGTATAACTGAAACATTTACGTAGAAACACAGCTTTTCCACTCTTCATGAATGAACTTCCTGCTCGAGGTTGTCTGTTCTGAGGCCAATCTTGGCTAGACGATCATGTTCCTAAGTGTTTGTAATGAAAATTTTGATAAATAGTTATTGAAAATTAACAGATTGTAGCTTTATAAATATGAAATACTTCCTGTAGTAGCAAGTTATATTAAGAGGCGCTCTGGCACGATATCTGGACGATTTTATTTTGCGCGTATATTGCGTAAAAAAGGAAGTGGAGGGACCTACGAAGCGAATCAAACTATAAACTTTATTTCTTATTCAATAGGCCTCTTTGACTCGATTGAATCCGCAAAAATCAAAAAACCCTTTACCTTGAAAACAGACATTGCACGCGTGTAATGCATAAATTTTTATGTGCACGTTGTAACGCGTGTTTTGTCGGCAAAACCAGCCGAGGTATTCCCACAAGTGTGCGCGAGCACTTACCGTAAATCCTCTATAAAGCCCCCCCGGGTGGGGGCTTATTTTTTTCAAGCACTTTTGAGGGGGTAGGTTAGTAGAGAGGGGGGGCTTATTTAATTTAGCGAAACGCATCACCTGTAGCAAAAATACCGTGGTATGAGACAGAGTAGACTTACGCGTCGTACAATTAAAGTCACTGTCAAAAGTATTTAATTCACTTGTGGGAACCTCAAAGTAACAAAACCAAAATTCTTATTCTTGAAAAATGTGCTTTCGGCCTCATGTTCTTCGGTAATTTTTATGAATAAACCATAACTGATCAGTCCACGTTAATCGTTAATTTTCTTGTGAAGAATAAGGAGGGGGAGGGGCGGGGCTTATTAACTTTCCTCCTCTGAAAGGATGGGGGGCTTATTTGAGAGGGGGGGCTTAATAGAGGATTTACGGTATTTTCTAACAGATCTTCCCACCTATTCCTGCACGTTCAGAGAAAATAGTCTTGCTGAATATCTAGTTCATGGGATTGTTTGAAGATCATGGACTCTGCGGCTACAAAGCTTCAGTTGGTTATACTTAAAGAAAGTAAACCGACCTTATTCAACAGGTAAAACACATAAATCTGACTTTCTCCCTGTAAGTCCCTCCATGTCATAAATTTAATAACCTACGAATACAGCCACCTCCCCTCGATCCTCGCCCGCGAGGAGGAAGGAGAGACAGATGTATTCAAAGGATATATATTTAAAACTTTGTAGTGCGTTGCATATAACTGCTGCAAAGGATTAAGTACTGTTTAAAACACGAGCAAGAGTGTATTATTAGGTTTAAAAACTCGAGGCGAAGCTGAGAGTTTTAAAACTTGATACTACACTCCTGCGTGTTTTTTGAACGGCTTCATAATCTCTGATATAGATCAACTCAACTCATTCTTGCACTAATATTTAGATTTAGGGTTGTTTTGGTCTAACAAACTGGACGTCAAGTTAAGCCGTGTCTTTACATTAATTTTTTTCCTTATAATTCATTTATAAGTTTTTGAACGGTGGAGGAGGAGATAAACGTGGAGCAAAAATGACGAGTGACGAAGTGATTCATTCAACATAATATTAAGAAACGCACTGGTCCCAGTTCTTCAACCGGTGGATAGCGCTATCCACCGGATAAATTCTCTATCCACTGAATAATGCAATTGGTCTCCCTAATATTTATTTACTGGATAGTGAATTAACCGCTGGATAGCGCCATCCAGCTTTGGAACAACTAAGGCCAGATGTTTAAAAAAACCCTTTAGTGTTGACTTGACTCAAATTGCCCACATTTTCCACGTCCCGTTCCCATTTCAAGCGTTCCACTTTTTCTCCCACTAGAGCGATTTTCGTATGACCTTGAGATGAAAACGCGCGAACAAAACAGAAACAAGAAACGAACGGAAATAGAGTGATTTGATTGCTTTATCGAACGGATATAAACGCGCGTGACTTTTGGCTGGTTAAGCGAACGCTCGGGTGAAAAAACGTTATGTCCGATAACTTTCTAGAAATCAATCAATACTTCGCTTTGACGTCATACAGCAACACGATTGACCAATCGAACAATGCCTTCTCCATGTTAAGGTTTTCTTTGGCGGGAAAACGAAGAGTTTTCACTCAAGACAAATAACGAACACTTACCAAACTGTTTTTCAAGGTCATACGAAAGTCGCTCTATCTGCCACTTGTTCAGTTTACAAAA